TGTTTACCCATCCAGAGGGAAAGCAAAAGATTGCGGAGGAAGCCAAAGCCATGCGTAGCATGGACGTTTGGGAGGACGAAGACATTCATGAAGTGGATGTTCTAAAGAAAGAAGCTCGGGATTCCAATCGGTTGATTCATGTAGCAGAAATCATGGCTATAGGACATATCAAGAACTCGGAGAGCAAAGAACAATCTAAGTTGAAGGTTCGATTGGTGTTTAGAGGAGATGACACTCGTGATCAAAACAATCAACTAGCTTTGTTCAGAGAGCTGAAGTCGATCCCGGCTACATTGGCTACCATTCATGTGGTACTATGGTTTGGGTTAAGACCCAACCACAAGGTGACCATCGCAGATGCTCGCAAGGCATATCTCCAAGCACTGAGGTACCCACGCACGTAATTCTGCCCAGGGAAACTTGGAAACCCAACTGGGTAGGACGATTCAGACGTGTGGCAGCCAGACTGAGGAAGGCCATGTACGGCCATCCAACCAGTGGGGACGACTGGGGTGACTACTTGGATCGTGTTGTGGTAATCGAACTTCAAGGGGAGAGAGTTGAAGGGTGGCCATCATTATGGTACATCAAATCATGTGAGGTTCTTGTTGCCGCGTACGTTGACGACCTTGTGGTCGCAGGAGAATCCCAATCAGTTGATCTCTTCTGGGAGTTGCTAGCTGATCACATCCAAGTGGATTCAGTGGAAGAACCCGGCCGTTATCTGGGACGGGATCACATGGTGTTCAGTTTCCATGGTGGAAAGCAAGTCCACATGGCTATGACCGATTATGCAATCACAGCATACAAGTTGTACGAAGATCAGTCTCAGAAAGAACTCAAAACGTACGACACACCTTTCGTAACAGAAGCGGCCCTGACCGCTGATGGGTTTGATCAACCAGGACAACTGGCAGGACATGCCGCGCAACTACTTATGAAGCTTCTATGGCTTTCAAGGTTGTCGCGTCCGGACATTTCATTCGCCATCACCACGTTAGCTTCTAACATTGCTAAGTGGTCACGGAATCACGATATTATGTTGTATCGGTTGCTAGGTTATGTCAAGGGCACCACCACACTTGGACTTCTTGGAACTGTGTCATCAAGCCTTGAGATACCCACACTGTTGCTTTACGCCGACGCCGACCTGGCAGGCGACCCATGTACCATGAAGAGTCACAGTGGACATTATATGGTCATTGTCGATTCTAGTGGAACTAAGTTCCCGGTCATGTGGAGTGCAAAGAGGCCGTTCTACAACTGAAGCAGAGATCGTGTCGGCTTCTACCATGATCTTCGATGACGGTATTCCCGTCAAATCAGTACTAGACCTTGTATTGGGTACAGAAGTGCGAACCGTGCTGAAAGAGGAGAATTCGGCAGTATGCCAGATTATCCGTAATGGGTATTCCATCAAATTGCGGTCATTGAACAGAACTCATCGAATAAGTGTGGCCGCTTTGGCCGAAAGTGTCAAAATGGGTTTGGTAGAAGTAGAGCTGACCCCAACGGGAGAACAGCTAGGAGACATCTTCACCAAGGCGCTATCAAGACCCAAATTTCTTTTGGCTCGGGATGCAATCATGGTGTGCCTGTGTCCTGTCTTGTCTAAGGAAACCTGACGACTAAGGACAGCACTCAGGATCCGTACTAAGGTCGAGAGTCGTAACTTTGTGTCGAAACTTCGTAAAAAGTAAACCCGTTTTTCAGAGGTTTGACCCAGCGCTTGCGCGGGCTAACTGAGGATTGTTTGGTCGACGTCTTCCTTGTCTTTAAGTTCTTTGTTGGTTGCGGCCTTCGTCTGCTTGCGGCGCCTGGCACTTTGCAGCGGCGCTTTCTGAGCCTGTACTTTAATTTTTGTACCTTAGTATCTCCCTTGTGTAGTTCCTTTTAACTTCCTCAATCGTCTGCTCTACAGAAGCGTGCATACGCAAGCCTGGCTGGGGGGTTTGCATTTGCACGAGGCGTTGCACCAAAGCAGTCGTTTGAGGGGGGGGGCGAGAATCACTTGGGGATAAACCTGCTGTTTTCACTTGGTAGGAATTCAGTTTGCCATAGCTGTGACGATAACTAATCGTCTTACTTGATCTTTGGCTCAAGGTTGAAAAGGGTGCTGAAGCCACTAAAACGTGGCGAGACCTCGCCACCTTTGGCGTTGGTCATGAGGCGTCGCTCCTCCGGGCTGAGGTTCTTCCAATGCACCTCACTGGAGCTGAGCTTCTTTGCCAGGAAGATCTCTGGGTTCTTCTGGAACTGCTTCTTCTGACGGTTGGTCTCAACGACATAGCCTTCTTGTATTTCTTGAAGTGCAGCTTGAAGGTCCAGGTGAAGCCAGAATCATCGGTGAATCGGCGCGCTGCTTCTTGGATTCTGGTACTTCAGGTAGTCCAGCATCAGCTTCAGAAGGTAGGACCAGGAGGCGGTTCTTCCTGAAGTAGCGGTGTCTTGGAAGACGTTGAAGCCCTTCGTGAGCCAGAAGCGCTCGATGTAGATTTCAACTTCTCACCGTCGTCCATGTCTTCAAGGTCTGTCTTTTGTCGCTTGGACTCTTGACCATCGTCCAAGTCATAGTCGTTGACATTGCCCTCATCTTCATCTTGAGGTGGAGGTTCGAAGCCCACTGGAAATCCAGTATCGTCCATTGGCATTTTTCTGCGGGCTCCTCTCCAGTCATATCATATCCACAAATAATATCCGTACGGGGTAAGCGTTGTAAATCAGTCGGTGCCATAATAGTGTCGGACTGCAAGATTTGCTCGCGCAATTGACAATCTCACACGTTTTTGCAAGTTCGTTCAGGTCCTGTGGTTGGATGCGTTCCTGCGCTCAAGATTGACGTACGAACCTGAGCAAACACCTAGGCACGCCAGCGTGCTTCTCACGATTTCATGGTCCACGCAACAAATTGAAGCTTCTCTGAATCTCTACCTGCAAACAGCAGGCAAACGTTAGCATCTGTCGTTCTTGATGTTCAGACTCCAGTAGCACTTGCTGAAGGTAAGCCGTGAATGTTGAACCACTTCCTCAAGACAGCGCTGCAAAGTTACTGAGCGAAAAGAAACGGTGAAAAAAGCGCGAGCAGCAAACCTTGCAACTTGCAACCAAAAACCTGTTGGGCCTTTTGTCAGCTGGATAGTTTCACGTCGCTGCGCTTTGCCTTCAGCAGAAAGGTGTGGCGCACTGCTCTGGCTACTTTGCATTTCGATTTTGCCGAATCTGTGACTGACAGCTGGAGGATCACAAGCTTTGGTCTTTGTTTCAAGTAGAACAAGGTCGCCAGCCTTTGCACCCTTTCCTGTAGTCTTAGTAAAGAGCTAATGGGCAAAGTTGAATTTCGTTGCAGTTGGAGAAGTTGGAGACTTCCTTTGCGACGGTTCTCGTGCGTGTTCGTGAACTGTGTTTCCTCTTCTTCTATTTATATATATACATGTTTGCGTGGTCAGCCACTTCCGCTTTTCTGGATGCGAGGACGTGCTTCCTTGGGAGGTTCACGTGGCCAGGACACGCGCTCGCACCTGGTGGGACAGCGACGTAGCCACAATACGCGACAGGTGAGAAGGCATACTTTGGCCACGTCACCTGCATCAGCAACGATGCACAAGGAGTTTCGCCCATCATTGTTGGTGGCTGCTCGGTTGAGGGCGTGCCAGGCATCCTTGAAGAAGTCAATGCAATCTCTTGTCATCCCTTTCTTCTTCTACTTCTCCGCCCGGACGGTCACTGCTGGGCACCAAAACGTGCCCACATGAGCCAAGTGGAGCAACCGCCTGCTGGAGCAAATCCCGGTGGAGCAAGCTCCTCACTCTCCTTGCTTTCTCCTGAAACAGACAGGGGCAGGGACAAAGCAAGCCATTGGGCCAACAATTCCAATATAAATAGATGAATAAATATGCGCGTGTAGAGAAAGGTAAAGTAGGTGAATGGTGGTGGTAGTGGGTGACTTACTGATGTCAATGAAGAGAACGAGGACTAACTGAAGAAGACAATGAAAGGACTTAGGTATTGGCCCCCCTCATCTGAATTCATGTGACAGCTACCTTTCCCAGGAGTGACCCAGGGCATCAAGAAGAGCAACCATCATCAGAGACTACCTTGAAGTACAACCATTGGACAATGATCCTTTCTCGGAGCCCTGCCAACAATATTCGCGCGCATGGCTGATTCAGTCCAGCATCAACATTTTCTGCCGCGCTTAGCTTAGCTTGCATCGCAGCTTGGTAGGAGTTAACTGAACTCTGACACAAAACTGTCACAACTGATTGAACTCTGTGCCGATTATTTCATTGGATATATACCCGGTTTTCACTGATGATCACAGGGTGGCATTATCATTCCTCTGCGCGCCAGTGGGAACGCCATTGGAAAAAGGAATTGATTGCTGATTCTTGCCCCCGGCAATGGCGTGGTAAAAGGTCTAAGGCAAGTCGCCTTCCATTCTCTAGTTGGTGCACAGGAACTGGATTGATGAAGTCCAGGTTGCATGCACATAGTCAATGGCCTTGGTCGCCCAATCCACTGTTGAACTGCCTTGCGACTGATTTGGAGAGCACACACACCTCCATGATCTCAATGTGAAACTGCACACCAGTTTCCCCCACAAATGACGCCACTTGGAGAACGCAGACGGGTCCATGCGCCCACATTCCCTTTACTCAAGCAAAAATGCCATCACAGGTAGGAGGGAGTTCGCAGCAACACAAACTTACCAAGCCCAGCGCTAGTCCGCTAGTCAGGCATGGAGCTTGAGGTGCTAGTCTATTGCGTGGCAGATCCATGGAAAACGCCCATCACACAGGCAGACAAGTGGGGAGACATGTAAGGAGATAAGTTGGGAGACAAGGCAGCAGCGGCGCAGCAGCAGCACAGCAGCGGCAAACAAAAACGGAATACAGGCACCCAGTCATTGAAAAGCAAGAACCCCTGTAGCTATCGCTATCTGGGGAATGACTTGTCTACGTCAACACTGGAAGAATCAATGCTCAAGCCATGGCAAAGTCCTGTCGCCAAACCTGTTGCAGTTCTGCGCAATGTTTCTGGAGCGCTTCCTGCAAGCATCAACAAGCGAACAAGGCACATGCCAGCTCAGCAACCAGCGCATACAAACTACTACGACTTTGGTTCCCTTCCATCAGTGGCTGACCTCTTCCATCTTCAGTTCCTCCAAATTCTGCTGACCGGCCGTTCCGATCTGGTCCACCGGGCCTCAACATCCGCTCGTCCGGGTTCCGGACAACACCAAACCATTCTCAAATCAGTTCTTTTGGTGAGGGGCAGCAATGGAGGATTCAACAAGCGAAATTTAAGAAAAGGGACACAAGACTTGCATAGATATATGAATTACCCGGTCACCATCCCGCTTTGTGAAAAAACCTCTCAAGGAACAGGCCAAGGAACCACGGCATGTTGAGCAGAATATCTTGAACGAACTCCTAAAAAGGATCTAGTGGGGAGGTTTGCAATTTTGATGGACACGCGTGCATGTTTGCACTAAAGACCGGCAGGGCCACCGTGGACATGGAGGTCCACGTGCAACAGACCACTTGGTTCCCAACAAGTTTGGGGGGATCAGTGAAGCATGATGAAATTTTTGCAGATTCAGTGTTGTACCTCCTGGTTCGCCACAATAAGAAAGAAAAGTGAAACATCAACACGTCTCTGCCCAAACCGGTTTTTTGGAGCAGTGGCGATCGATGAAGGACAATTTCCTGGGACCTTCTTCGCCCATCCTCACAAAGCGCATGACCGATGTACGAAGTCATGAATTGGTATCACAACAGGCACTAGCAGTGTCCCGCGTGTGACTTACAATGGCAGGACAGAAACCAATGCCACAAATTACTTTGTCTAACCGTTCTAGAACGCTGATCCAAAAGACTGTGTCAGAGGAACAACCCCATGCAACATGTTCATGATACAATAAACAAGGAAAAACATACTCCACTGAACTACGCAGAGATAATGCAAATTGTGACACAACGCGAACGAACCCTGGACCGAGGCCCCTCCTTCCTGCGCTCGTACTTTTCCGCACAGCGGGCCTTGCTGCTGCCGCCGTCCCAACGCCATGAGCCCGGCAAAACACGTCCCAGAAGCATAACAAATAGAATGTGTTTCTACGCAAGGCAGAAGTTGCCTTACCTGGCTGATTGATTCCCGATTAGCATTCCACATTGCTGCGTATTCATCATTTGCCAACCACGCACCACCCTAGTCAGAAAATTGTATATATTGGTTTCTTGTGCAGCATCGGCCAAACTGTCGTCTTCGAGCCAATGCTTTGGAACCATCCAGAAAGCATGCGTCCAGTCAAAAAACAAACGGGTCACATGTTCACGTATATGGAAAATTCACTAACAAGAAACAAACCTACGCGCCTTGAAACGTTTGCTTGCGTCCTTCCCCGGCAAAGCGTTCACCCAAAAAACATAAACATTAGCATTACATATCATCACAACTTACATCCGCACACATCCAAGTATGCACATTTGCACATTTGCACATGACACAAGCCTGCAGAGAGATCCAGACACGCGCATGTTTACATCCGAATATCTTCACACCCGCACATCTCCAGACATGCACATCTTCACATCTGCACATCTTCCCACCTTTGCACATATCCTGTTCTTCTCCTTCTCCTTGTCATTGTCATTCTCACTCTCACTCCCACTCTCTCAACTCACTCAACTCACTCAACTGACTCGACTCGACTCAACTCCACTCCACTCCACTCCACTCCACTCCACTCAACTCAACTCAACTCATGAAGTAGCGAGGAACCGCGTGGAAACATAGATGTTGAAGTCTGGAGGATGATTTTTCACTGCACAGACGCAAGTTTTGTGAGATGCTGCTGTTCTCTGCGTAGTCACATTGGGATCAGTTTTTGGAGAGCGTGTTGGATGTGGCTGTGACATTGGGAGTTGCGTTTGAGAGCGTTGCATGGAAGCTGCATTTTTTCAAACGGCGATTTTGGTGGATGGGAGAAGTCTGACACGCATGCGCGCCAGACTCAAAACAGGCGCGTTTGCCACATAAGGAACCAAAGACGAGCCGGGCGCACACTTGGACAATCCAGAGCTCTCTTGGACTTGGGTTTGTCCAAGCGTTGGAGTCGCATTCCTCATGGCTCTCAAAAACGGCTTGGGAGAAGATGTGACACAGGCGTTGTGGACCAAACCATGCGGTGGTCCAGCGCTCAAAAAACAGGTGCCTTTTGCGAATTTTTTTTTCCACGAGTACGGACGCCGTGTGGGCATGGTGCCCAGGTCATCGTTGAAGGAAGGGAAGAAAAGACAGATGGTGGAGAAAGGAACGAAGACCCCAAAAACCAACCCAAAACCAAACACCCAAGCCCGCAGGCCGACTCCACCATCTTGTAGTCTTCCCTATACACTAGGTGAAACGTGTGAAACTGAGACTAATGACAACTAGTGGGCCTGAATTCGCAAAAGGAGAGGACTGCAGCGCAAGCTGTGTTCATGGAAAGCCGCCTAGAAGGCTTCAAACGGACTTTCCTTACCAAGTGTTGGTGACCAGCGGCCACACCACAGTGTGGCAAAACAAGGTCACTTTGCAGGTCAGGTGTCTCGCAATGCTCCAGCAGTGGTTGTAACCAGGCCAAACGAATGTGCGAAGATCTAAGCAGCAATCCATGGAAAAGACCATACTTGTAGCACAACCCGTTCAACCGGTGGCGCATACAAGGCCAGTCACATGCTGGTCGGGATGAGTCCCACTGCCAACTATCTTACTGCCACCAGCCATAGGACCACCCATCGGTCGAGGGCGATGGGGAGGGCCTATTGCGCCAGGAAGACCACGCTGCCGACGAGGAGCTTTCCGATTCTGTTGGGGGGACCGTTCGGCGAGCTTTATTACCTGGGTCAGGGGCTTCTTGACTATAGCCCATGTGGTCTCGAAGCGCCTGCTTGTGATCCTTGAGTTGACGCCTGAAATTGGGGTTCCCAGTGAGCCATGCACAGAGCTGATCCCATTGTTCTTTCGTGTAGGATTGTGTGCCATATTGGTTGTATGGGCGATCTGCCATTTTCGGAGTGAGGGGATATCCCTTGTGGTAGTAGTCGTTGAGGACGCACTCAGGGACTTTGGTCAGCATCAGGCGGGGAGACAGCAGGTGCCATCCTGTGCGGGCCATGGCAACACGTAGCCAGAGGTCAGCCACTGAGCCACGACAGCACTTTCTGCTTCTATGCTCCCTTGCTCGAAGTTGCCAAGCGCCGTTGCTGATCGGGTATACCCTGTGCCGAAGCGTCCATATCCCTTGGCAAAGGTGTAGTTGGGTTCAGCCATCATGTCCTCATCCTCCGTGGCCTCTTCAGTGCCAACTTCTGGCGGTTCAGCAAGCCCCACTGGCACAGGGAGGGCAAGCTTAGGCGACCGTTCAGCTGACTCAGCAGTGTCAGAGGCAGAGTCTTCTTCTGCAGGCAGGTCTGCATTCGGGTGTTTAGCAGTAGTCAGGCTCGCCACAAGGGGACTTCGATACGCAGCCTCAACTGCATGCTGCCAGACAGAATTCAATTGCGGCGGCAATTCCTGGCGAGAGAAGCCTGCAGCTAAGGGTGAATCGGGCACCACCTCCCCGTGGGAAGGCAGACCCAACACCCTTCGGCACTCAACGGTGCCAAAAAGGGGATGTCACTTGAGTCTGTGCGGCGCTGTGTAATGGCAAAAGGTGAGAGGTGCGTGCAAGGCCCGTGTGAAACCTGTGAAACATTGAGCTCTCCTAGCATGATATCTGTACCTCTTTGTACAAAATTGGAAATGTGGGACATCAACAGCGGGAACTAAGGCTCCCCCTGGGCATCCTTCATTGCCACTATCCACCACCCGCCGTGTAGGAACGCAGAACTAAGGTTCTCGCTCCTATCGGCTCACTTCGCAGCGGATGGCGAGAAGAGGTCATGGTTCTACTTGGTGTCTGTGCATTTTGCTTGCCATATATGCCTGGAAATCCTTCTTTTCTGATGCTCAAAAACTGGCACTTGGCTCAACTCACTGCTCACATCGCACTTGCTTCTCTCCTGCCTCTGAAGCACAGCTTCGTTGAGGCTGGGTCTAGATAGTTTGTGTCGCCAAAGGTCGTTTGCGTTATAGGTCATCGAATGCTATGGTGCCGAAAAACTTGCATCTCGGGGCGACCACGACCCGTAGCATTTGACACCTAAACCAGTGACCGACTCTGTGTCTGGCAGGTGGACGATTTGCCGTTGTCGACATCACCGCCACGCCGAGACCCTTCTCTTTCCGACAGCCTCTGGGCACTTACTCCATGCATAACGGAGGGCAACTATGGTTAGTGACTCGTGTTGAGGAGTACTGTTTCGCAATTGCTGGCCTACTCCGGACCCGAGCTAAGGCTCGCACCCAGACCCTAACAAAATTGATGGCAGGGCCACGACAGCTGTGGATGGAGGGATGATCCTCTATCCTGAGCCAGGGGTGTAGCCCATGTCTGGGATCATGTGCAGCCAGAGTGGCCATTTCATGGCCGGACAGATGGCAAAGGCATTTTCTTCAGCATAAACCCCTCGCCATCTGCGTGTTCCGGGCATTTTGACCAGCCTCCGAAGGGCAGTGCAGTCCAAGAAAGCCCTACTTCCAATGTACTTGAGAGCAGGCGGAATGGCAAGCTCAACAAGGGCGGCACAGCTCATAAAGGCTTTAACTCGGATTGTATGGAGAGTTGTCGGTAGGAAGACTTCCCGAAGGCTAGTGCAGTGGCCAAAAGTGAATTCCGGAATTTCTTCAATCATGGTGTCACGGAGGTCGACACTGTTAAGCAGTCGACAACTGTCACAAGCGTGCGCTCCTATGGCTACAAAGTGCTTTGGGAGGACAAGCGTGTGGATGCCTGTGGAGCTGAGGCAGCCCGGAGCTGGCTCTCTGGTCCTGTCTTGCTGGGTTAACCCGTTCAATTCAGATCGGGGGGATGGAACCTCACTCACGGTGCCTCTGCAAGGTTGATGCACCCTTGGAAGAGGTATTGCCCGAAATTAGTTTCCCCGCTGAACACGTTTATTACAGCTCCACCCGATGCATACACACTCTGCAAGGAACAACATTCCGAAAAGGCTTTGTAACCAAAATCGCGACAACCCGGAGCCAAGACACTATTTTGGAGCTTGCAGTCCCGGAAGACATTATCTGCAATGCCTACCACTGTGGCCGGCAGTTTGACAATGCGGAGTTGCCGGCAATCTTGCCACGCCTCTGCACCTATGAGCCTGATCCCTGACTCGACGCTAACGTGTCGCAAGCGTGGCACCCCTGCAAAGACCCATTCTGGGACAGTTTCTTCTGAGTTCATTGGGACATGAGCAGCTAAGGGGACTTGATCAATAGGATAACCACCGAGCTGCTCTTGTTCTAGCAGGGTAACACTACAGTCCCTGAAGACAATGGTGTATTCTCTACCCTGCTGCAACTTATCCCAAATTGGGTCCTCTAGGTAGGTTTGCGTGGTAGTGTGTAAAAAGTCAATGACGCACCCAAAAACTTGGAGGTCAGTGACCGAGGCCAGATAATCCATAACCTGGTCTTCTAAATCTGTAAATCGGTCGAACTTGGCGACACTGAGAGAGACCTTAAAGGTTACCCCTGAAAGCGTAGTCAGCAACAGGGGGCATTCCATGACTGGCTCCTTTTCGATGGGAGTGCTACTCATGGATGAACTGTCAAGCTCTTTTTGCGGCAGGCTATTTGATATCATTGTGCGAGCCACTGGTGTCCAGTCTGCACATGGGCTGTTCCTACGGCCGGGGATGTTTCCTTAAGACAGATGCTAAGGCACCTACCTTGAGCCTCTCATGGCCTGGCATAATGCTAAGGGTACACGCGGTTGGCATGGCAATATTCATGGCAGTGTAGCTCCGTAAAGTCTACCATGGACTGACATGATATTGGCAATATTCGTGGCTGAGTTCCTCGTCAAAGGCATCAGAATCTGGTCCTTCCGCTGGGAGCAGTTCCAGCCAATGAGGTTTTTCAAATTTGTCGCACATAAAAAAAGCATTGTGCTCTGCCTGCACCCACTGTTCAACGTC